TATATTTGGGACATTTCTAGTGATACTGGATATCAATCATTGCGATGATCGTAAAAAGCATAAACCAATTGTTTCATATCATTGGGGGGAGGTACATGTATGTAGAACCCCCCACTCATTTATGATTTCTGAGAAAACTGTAAAGAAAGTTGTAAATAGAGATACAAGGAAACAAATCCAATCGTGATGAATCATAGGTCAAAATTTGCCCTCAAACTTTGTACTACTATCTTATCTAAACTTCATCTTAATTACTAAATGTATCGGCTCACACCCTTAGTTATTAGTTTCAAGTGATGTATAAATTCATGCTTGTGTAATTTTAATAGCTGGACAACTATACTCTGAAATTTCAAAAGTTCCTGTTACCTAATTAATTATTTCTTTTATTTAATAATCAAGTGTTGTACGTTTAGTAGGATGTTTAATTTTTCACATGAAAAATCAAAAATACCATGTACAGTGTATATACACCTCTGTTGCAGATGTGTTCGTAATAGAACAAATATTTGGATAACATTCTTTGTAATGTTCAACCTTTTCGCAACCAATTCCTTTTTTTCATCACAAATTCACAAAATAGTCCTGTTTATAGTTTGCACTTTTTTTTCAGAAGATTGGGACAAAAAATTGTTTAGAGTAAAAAGTGAAAATTTACTCGAATAAAAAAGCGCAGACAAATTTGGGCAAGAAAGTCTGGGGGTGAAATGGTTAGAGGTTGACACATGACTTGATACAAGTTACCATAGTGATAATATTTCATGTAAATTGGAAATGTGTTTCACACTTAATTCTTGGTCAGAGTACTGGTATTGTGGGGAAAATGTTTTCACTGTGACTCACTGCATAGCCTCAAACACATTCTATTTAAAAATCAGGAACAATTCAGAAATCCTTTATTTTTGTTATGGTAAGGACTTCAACTAAAGTACATACATATGTACACATTTAAGGGAGGAACTGACATCAGGAAGTCTATGCAATCACTGTTGAAAACATATCTACCCTATTTTGCTCTGTAAAACATACTGGTACATCTCTATAAGAAGTACATTTGTATTCATTCTACGCTTGCGCATTAACACATTGCTTGTGTCAATTGCTAAAAGCCTCCACGCAAATACCAAAATAAAATTACCAGGTATATGTTGTTTCTTAGAATCATAGATTTCTTCTGAGCCTGTCTGAGTTTCTAATTTTAGACTGATTTGAAAAGTCAAATCTATTTTACACACAGTTGTGTTCAGCCTTGTACCCTCAAGTACAGTGCCTCATCAAGATTGTGAGACTGGGAAGCAGAATTTGGCCTTGCCACAATCCTAGCTGGTATTATCATAATTTGTAAATTTTGTGACTAATACATGTATGTGTGATAACCCTTCCTTATCTATTATTTTTTGCCCTGTTTTTTTATAATTTCTATCTGCCGAGGTATGTATGGGTGCCTCAAAACAGCATTTGCTACCGCAGTTGCGACTCACCAAAGTGGCAGCAAAGGTGCTTTGCCTCGGCCGCAAAGCTCTTGTAGGACCATGCTCTTACCTAGTAGCAAAGTGCTGATGATTCGATGGCCGTTTATCATCTATCACATGGTGACGCGCTACACGAAATAAAAACATTCTCAGGGGCGGATCTAGGATTCTAGAATAGAGGGGGGGGGGCGATAAGTTGGCCGAAGGCCAAGTTGGCGAGCGCCGATGGCGCGAAGCCCTGTTGGTTGTTAAAAATACATTCATTGAAATCAAACCTTTTCGTAAATAATTTTCCAAATTATTCAATCGTCACAATGTCTAAAACTAACGCATTTACAGCGCATAATAGTATCGTATCGTGGAGGAGATCACTTTCCCGGCCAAGCGGTTCTATATAAAAGTCCAAAGCTGCCCAGGTCGACGTCCCCTGGGATAAAACAAAGTGCTGCATATGGAATGGCTTCCCAAACTAGTTTCACTTCGGGCTTTGGGTTACTGTTTTGTTTTACTATTTGAACTAATAGTTATATTTAGGCATTGAATTAAAATTCTGATACATAAATGCGTACCAACAAGCCTAGTAGTAGGGGAAAATGAACAATACCGCAACAACTATTTTTATTTTTTCGTATATAACGAGTACAAATATATCTAAAATCATGATATTCATAATTACTTGTCAGTAAAACCTGTCAAAATCGACCATGATAGGAATAGGTGACGACGCCGATCATTTGTTTATATCCGGGGTTATACTGCCAGACACAATGTGATGCGTGGGGGTCTGGTGTGAAAAAACTTACAGGCCGACTATTTACTAATTTGACTGATTATTCAACGACAGCAACTGTCAATCATTCATTAAATGTAGATAGTCCTAATCTTTTGTTTATGTGTATAGTTACTGATTTGAGCTATGTAAAGTGAAATAAACAATTCATTTCTGGTGACGAGGCTTGTTGGAATCCGAATTCAAGTCGGGTATTCTAGTATGCACAGTCCATTCTAAAGTCTATGCTGCAATGTTTAATAAATATATTCACAGACATAAATGACGTTGCGTAGAGTAGAGTAGAGTCTCTGGTCTCTGAGCGATCACTTTTTACCTCAGACAACTAAGAGAACTGTATATTCAAATAATATTTATGTTGATTGTCCTTGCATCATGAACCACATGATTAATTTGAAACTGTGTAGTGAAAATTTAAGACTACAAAGCCAAGAGGCAATTGTCTTTGTGGCCTCTGGAAATTTTGAGCTCTGTATGTGCTTGTTGTATATATTCTAATTAAATGTTCACTGTGTTTTCTCTTCAGAACTCCAGAAAACTTACCTGCTGATAACAAAGCCTCAATCACTGTTGAGGGGAAAAATTTCCTTGTTAGGGCGGATGATCTGAAGCCGATATGTGAACTAGGACGTGGTGCTTACGGTGTGGTGGAAAAAGTAAAACATGAACAGAGCGGCACTGTAATGGCAGTAAAGGTACAACTAAAATATGTGTTAATTAATATTGCAATTCATGAAGTACATGTGTTTAACAGGTCGATGTAAACAATTTTAATCAGTTTCAACATTTGTGATACAATGAATGGCATATTGAATGTTTTTCTAATGTTTTTCTGTTTAGAGAATAAGAGCGCAAGTCAACAGTAAAGAAGATAAGCGTATTGTAATGGACATGGATGTAGCCATGCGAAGTTCACTGTGTCCATTCACAGTCACCTTCTATGGTGCTATGTTTCAAGAGGTACCGTTTATCATCACATTAGTTTTCATCCCAACATAAATACTGTAAACTGCTTTATTTTCACAAATTTTCTCACTACATTTTGTAGTATTGAACATTTCTCTGGGGTTCTGAGACACCAAGTGAGTTTTGTTGGTACATAGTGCATTCTGTGAAAAATAAAAGTACTTGCAAGTGCTGCTAATCATTGGGTCATAAGTTTTGAATGTACCTGGATTTTTTTTAACATACTGTAATCTCATGGTATT